GTTCGTGGCTCCGTCGCGCGGAGGGCTACTGGTGTAAGAAGCCCTTGCGTTAACAGCAGTACAGCCTTCTTGCGTCAGAAGTTTTTGCGGTAGACGCTCTGTCGTGTAGAACCTTATGCATTAAAAACGCTCGCATTTGAAGAAATGTCGCAAAAAATGCGTTCGAAGTTTTGCCGCGCAAAGTAGCGTCACGTCATACCATTTACTGCTGGTAGAAGTTTTGTCGCGTAAAGATTTTTCTAGACATATTTAAGCCATAATTAGGTCGCGCAAGTTTTGCCGTTAACACTAACATCGTCACAACTATCGTCTCCGAATCCTTGAAGCCGTCCAACGCAAAATTCAATGGCAGCTAACTGTAAGAATGCCTGAATATTTGAATTGCGAGCATTTCACCCGGCACCACCAGACCTGCCCAGTAGCGCAGGCAGAGGGGAGGGCACAGGGGGCACGTGACCCCCCCCCCCCCCCCTTAGGTTCCGAAGGGCCCTTTGAGCCCCTCGGAACCTACTATTGAGGACCCGAAAAGCCAGTCAGGGGTATCATTCAGGAGCCCCGGCCCGCAGGGTCGGGCACTCAAATGCCAGCCAGAGGGCCCTGTGCGCTGATCAGCGGCCCACTGGATCGGTAAGAGCCCATATTTCGGTCAGACGCCACTAGTGACGCTCAGTCGGGTCCGTGGCGGCATGGGCCCAAATGCCCATTTCCCAAGCAGGGACAAAGCCGGAGCCAGCTGGAGCCAGCTGTGGGGCCCCGATTAATATTGCTCGGGGCCCCACAGCGCCTAATAGGGGCCCTGTGTTGTCAAGGGACCCCGAGTCGGACAGAAGCATTGTTCGGGGAGGTCCAGGGAACCTGGAAGGGCCCACCCGCTCCGACGGTGAAGGGCTTTGTTGAGGGTTTAAGGGCATAAGGGGCTGGTCGGAGTCTTGTTTAGTGGCCCAGACCTGCGAAGATGCATCCTCAGATAACGGCCAAAGGGCCCTTTGCGTCGATCGGGGACCCCCTGCGTCAATATGGGCCTACACGTCAGTCAGGTACCACCGTACCACATAGTGGGCCCCGTGTCGGTATGGGCGTGAGGACCCACTTCCCAATCAGCTATCAAGCCGGGACCAGTGATTTACACTGCTCGGAGCCTTTGTATTTGTTAGGGTCTTAGAGCGCCTAACAGAGGGCCCTGTGCTCTCCAGGGTCCCGAGCTGGCCAAAGGAAGTGTTTGATGGGGCCCGGGCGGCCCACCGAAAACGGCTATCAAAGGCTCGGTTGGAGGGCATGAGGGCCCGAATGACTGGTTGCAGGTCACATGAAGAATCGCGGCCCGTAGTGTCATGACCTGAAATGTCAGTCAGAGCGCTGCTATTAGGGCCCTCCTATAAGGGTTTTTATCCCTGTTGCATAGGGCTTCGGCACACAGCCAAACAGCCGGCTCCACCAAACAGCCCGCCAGAGCCCTTGAGACCCATTCCCCAAGCAGGGACAGGACCGGAGCCCGCAATTTGCAATGTTTGGGCTCCCTGACACAATGAGGGGCCGCTGTGTCGGTTAGGGGCCACAGTGCCGAACAGGAGTCCTGTGGCAGCAAGTGGCCCCGAGTCGGGACGGTGTTTGAGGGGGCCCGAAGAGAGGCCGAAGGGTCTCTCGAGACCAAAGACCAAGGGCCCCATGGGGTGGCTGAAGGGTCCGAAGGGCAGGCTGCAGGTCTCATTAAGGATCCCCGCCCATAGGGCCGTGACCTCAAATTTCAGTAAGATGATCTCTTGCACCGAAAGGGACCGCTAAGGCAGAGCGTTCCTCTATTTCGGCCAGAGATCACCAACAACGAACAGCTAGCTTTGTGTTGGTCTGAGCTCTAGGAGCCCATTTCCCAAGAAGGGACAAGGCCAGGCCCGCGACTTACTTCGGTCGGGCTCCTGTACCGTTCAGGGGCCCACAGTGCCCAACAGAGCATTCTGTGTCAACAAGGAGCCTTGAATCGGTCGGGGGAAGATTTGTTTAACAGATGCGGAGCCCGAAGGGCAGAGGGTCTTTTACGTTGGTCGGGGCCCTCTGACCATTGATGAAAACAAGAACTTATGATGAGTGCAACATTGGAGTAATACAAGAGTCCTGTGCCAGTCAAGGCCCCCACTTCCGAACGGTGGGCCCTCCAGCCCTTTTCCAGCATGGGCCCGTTAAGCCCAACTGGAGTCTGTGTCCCAATTATTTGACCACCTGCGGTGAGCAGGGATGTTGTTGCGTTAATTACGGTCCATGCGCCAATCCGGGGTCAACTCCGCAGGTCAGAAGGCCTCCCGCGTCAAGGAGCAGACCAATGTGATATGATGTATCTCCCTAAAGACTTCCGGATTGGCCGAGGGATGTCGCCCCGTGTCGCCAGAATGACAGTCAGAAAACACACCGCGGTGGGACAGAATGGTCCTTCAACTCTTGATCAGGAACAGCAATGTGCCCCGCAGTGTTGTACTCAAGCGGGCCCATTTACCGAAAAAAGTAAGGGGTCTCATTAGTGCTGAATGGAGTGGATCGAAATGGGTTCAAACGCACATGGCCATCCCATGTTTTCCTGAGAACATTCAGTCTTTTGCAGAATCGTCTAGTGAAACAAATGCCGTCAAAATGTTTAAGCCTGAGCACCGGGTGCCTGTAGTGTAGAGGTTCACGCTCCTGCGTTAACTACTGCGCGTCTGAGGAACCGACGCTGCGCGGCCTACGGACACTGCAACGTCCGACGTCGAGTTTTTGTTTTGAGGATATGCGAGCACGCATGCTTGAACTACGTTATACGATATGTACCATTAATGAACTTTGAATGTTGAAGATGTCCAAACAAACATGACCTGGCATGTTAATACAAATTGTTAACCCATTTTGATCTTTAATCTACAATCGGGGAATCCTTGCTATTTCTGCACAGCCCAGATACAAATTCTGACAAAGTTTCTGAGTTCCATCGAATTAGAAAAGGGTCCACGGGACCATCGTAAGATGAAGAATGCCGGCTATTTATTTCATGCAGTCACTTAACGCGTGATTTTGACAGCTCATTTACTATAAACACTTAGGGCAGAATTGACCTCGCGGTAGCGTCTGGCTTATCTTCCAGTTATAGAAGGTAAAAATGCGTTATATATATATATATATATATATATATATATATATATATATATATATATATATATATATATATATGCATACACACACACACATATATCTATAACATGTCCTCAAAACAAATGGGTCATATCCGACGATTTTTTGGGGGGTGGGGGTGGGAAGCCTTTAACTGTCAGGGGGCCCTCTGTCAACCCCATGCCCCCCCCACCCTACCAAAGCTCTGGTGGCGCTCCTTGGCCTACCAACGCATGCATAAGCAGCTGTGCTGTGGATATTAGTGTCAATGGCACGCACACATGTTCACGTTGATGATAAAATGGTTACATTCACTGTATGACATTCATGCGTGAATTGTAACGTTACCGTAGCTTGAAACCGCAACTGTATTGCTTGACTTTGCCGCATCGTCACGGCGCGAAATTTTGTAAGGTCGTCACATTTGGAGACGCGGAGCTGCTTACACCAGCTTTGCCTTCAGCTCGAGTCGTGGCTGCATGGTGGATGCGCCCACGGCCTCCGCACGGAAAATGTAAAACCCGCCCGGGAAACGCGTTATTGTAGAGCGGGGCCACCTGTTGTGCGTTAAAAGTACCTGAATGATGGTTGTCAAAGCCAGGGGTGTCAAGTTGGGTTAATTATTGGGGAGGGAGCCGAACCGAAGGCCCGACAGCCTACCCCATTTCTTTTCTCATCGGATTTAGCCTACTTTCATTTCATTAAACGCAATACATGTTCTTAATCTTTGTATAATTTATGAGTCTTTAATATAAGCAGTGCAGAAGTCATGCAGGGATGGATCCAGGGAGCAGGCACTGGACGCATGCGTCTCTTCCGATCGGCACGTGAAGGCCACCTTATGGCGCCCTTTAGAGGCCGCCTTGGGGCGCCGATGGCGCTCTTCTATGGCGGTCATGGGAGACGACTCACATTTTGGTTATGGGGGACGGGGACGGGGTTAGCCATGAAGGACCTAGGTCATCCCATATTCCAGAGCTTTTCACTTCAACCTCACAAACCATTGCGTGCCTTACGGCACAAGTATGGGCAATTTGTTGCGTCGTTTATCCTCTCAGCCGTTACGATTTTTCTCGAGGTGAGGGCAACCATGACTTTTTCATGAGATTAGTACGAGAAGCCACTACGCGGAAAGATCGAAGCAGATTGGCTTCGTGCTTGGCTCGGGTTTCGTCTTCGATCACCTTTTACCCACTTTTTTGTAGTATTCCAGCCTTAAACATTGCTCGGGGGGAGGGAAAGGGGGCAGGACCATCACAAAGGGATACAAATCGACACCCGCAATCAAAACCTCCGCCAGGGACGTGACTACTGGGCGTAACCACTCTGGAGTTCATGTGTTTTGGTCCCATGCACCATGAGCAAAACAAAATCAGTCGAATCTGCCATACATTATTGGCGTCTGGACCCCGCCAATTCCAGTGATATTGCCCACAAGCCCATTAAGCCCATAAACATCACGTTACGTTTTCCAACATTCAACCTGTTAACATAGTTTGAAAATACCGCGTCGCGTCAATCATCACCCCAATGCATCACGCCCGACCCACGCACGGGCCCAGCCGCCGCAGCACAGCTTCGATGGCTAATGTTCATACGCGTCCGCTCCCTTGCTTCTGCTTGGCGCTCCTGGTTGGCGTGCTGTTGACGTCAGAGAAAAGTAGATCGTAGCTCCAGGATAATATTTAGTTATGCGTATTCTGACACATTGCAAAAGTAAGCGAAAAACCGAGTAAAATAATTTTGAAACAAACCAGGTGTAGAAATATTCCAAGAACTCCATGGTAGTTCAAAAAACTGCAGCGCACGTATGCTGTAGGCCCTTGTTGCCCGTGATGCGCCCGGGAATTATTTTGAGGTGAACGGGATGGCGGGCGGCAAGTACGCGGGGGCGCTGTGGTGCTGGGTGGAGTGCCGTTGAAGTAGAGTGCTACTCGCGAGGTTGGTGGTTGAGTGGGACGGGTTTCTGTGTGCCAGTGAGATGCCATGACCGGAGAAGTGAATGTGATAATCTGAAGTCTCGTGTGGACTTAATGGAAACAGAGAACGCCGCCGCAACATGGCTGCGACTCAGGCTCAGACTGACGGCCCACCGCAAATCCACGCAAATTCAAACAATGTAAGCGAAAAAGAATCCATGGTACCGGCCTACACGAATGGTAGCGATGACTCTGGGATAGGCTCATCTTCAAATGAGAGCTTTACGCCCGGTAAATCGGTCACACCCCCTTCAAACCCAATCTCCACAGTTCCTCTGCCTGGAATGGTAAGTCGGCGGTCGTGTTTTAAGCTGTACATGTTTGCTGTGTTTGTGTTAGTCGCACCTGTTTTATGCAATTTCATAGCTCTTAATAGTTGGTATGTATCATAACTGATTCCAAACTGCTCGCCTGATATGTTTTTGGTTCTTTTGTAAGCTCTGTGCATAGTTTACACCCACCCCAACAGAAACATAACTTTCAAAGATGAGCACTGGTATAGTTGTTTTGCAACTTGCCTTCTCTGCATTAAATTATTTCTTGTGGATGTCACCATGTGACTCATCCCTAATTTTGATTACCATAATTCACTGCTAAGCATGGCCTGTGCAGATGCCTACTGACCATGCTGCCAAGTAGTCTTAAATGTGATGTTTTGCACCTAGCCCATTGGCTGTACACTGCTAGGAGTTTTTAGCATGTGCTACAATGCTGTTCAGCAAGCATGAATGTATTAAATTTATTTGGAATGGCTTAGTGAATGTCCCTGACTTTGAGATGTTGGGGTGGCCATATCTTTGGGACTGCTTTATTTGTAAAACAACTGCATGCTGATACCTGATTTTAATAAGGAAACAGTGCTAAATGCTGTAAGTTCTGCTGGCTGCTACATTAGGATCAAGTATAATTATTATGACATGACATTAGGGTAGTGTATGACTTATAATGGTGGCCAAATCCAAAAATAATTTGCCTTCAGTGGTTTTTATCTGTTTGTAGATTTTTAAAACAATATTTCATCACTGTTAAAAGTTGTCTTCCTGCTGCCTGGTCATGTGCTTTGCATTTCACCATATTCATTATCTTGCCTCCTTGCCTGAATTCTAACCATCGAATGACGGGTTCACCCACAGGTGGGCCAGCGGCCTCCATTCATGGGTAGTGGCTACCCAGGCATGCCCCAGCACCATCCAGGGTATGGTGCGGCACCTCATCACTACCCCATGGTGGCTGGCGTGCGCCCAAACCACCTGTACCCACCATCACAGGTCAGTTGATCAGCCCAGGCTATCTGTGTAATGCTCTTGTGCCACAGTGACAGTGAACAGTGACAGGGTATTTTTGGAATGTCTTTGTTTTGTGTTCTTCAGTGCATATTTACTGTCACTCCAGAACATTTACTTTGCAGAATAGTCTTCAACTAAGATGGTACTGTGGAAGTAGCTATAAAAGCAGGACAAGTCGTGCACCTTATGCCAAATTTATTTTTGGTTTATGTATAAACAAATGTACCAAGCCTTTGATGCTAAACCACACCTTGCCCCCCTTAATGCCATTGACTTAAGGAAACCAATAGAAGTAATATAGCAGAGTTTCATAATATGTAGTTTTATAATATATAGATAGCAGAGATTCCTTGCCAGACAGCCAAACATTCATGTGGAGCATTGCCCCCATCTCTGTCTTGATTTCTTTACCTGCTGACAGCACAAGAGATTGCAGTTCTTATTAACTAGCATGTCCTGTTTTGTCTTCCTTTTTACTCAATCATGTATTGCTTTTGATGCTGTTCAATGTGTGTTTGTTTTCACTCATTTCCAAGCCTCTATAAATGATTGATCAACTTGTGATGTCACCTTATTTTGCTAGCACACTTGTTTTTTCAATCCGGGATAACTGATGAAGTGTCTTCACGGGTGGACCGACCGTCACATTCTCTCCGCTACCATCCAAATTGCCTTCAAATGCTGAAGTCACTCGGATGAAATTTGGGTGGGAAACAGTTGGCAATTTGTATGGTAAATGCTCATGAGTAAAAATCAGAATGCATGGCACCTGCCAGCTTTACAGGATATGAAATCACGTGGTACGTTTTCGACGTGACCTCATACTGTAATTGGTGCAACCTGTGCCAACTGTCAGTAATGCAGTAGTTAAGCTGCGGACCTGGAAAACGAGAGGTATGGGATTTGATTCCTCGCGGTGCCCGCCTCCTGCCATGGTGAGAGGCAGATGATGTCATATAGCCTGATCTGCTGTGTGCTTTGTAAGGCCACAATGACGACGACGATGACGTGTCTTATTGTTAATTGTGGTGTAGGAAATACAAATAAGTTTCCATCGTAGTGTCCTGCACAACAATATCTGGGCATCGTTCCAAAGTCTGTGTGTGCACTCGTGCGCAGGTGTTGCCAGGTGGTAATAGGAAAATGGGAAATTACAAAGCATCATTTTGCAGTGAATTAAGGGGTAGTGGAATGCACAAGTTCGAGATTGGCGTAGCACGAAATGGAATAAAACGCTATAGTGTGTGAATGGTGCCACATTCCCCGGGTGGTAACCTAGGCAAAACAAGTGTATTTTTGCTAATGGTGCAGATACAAAGGCATCTGCGTGGAATATTACCTGCTCGCGTGTTAAGTAGATTTACACATTGAGGGATAACTATGTATGCAAAGTGATAAATGATATAAATAAGATATAAATGAGCGGGGCAAATACCTTGTTGTATTCTGTGATTATTGTCCTGTAAGTATCCCAGCCCATCCAAAAGCAGCTGAAAGTACTTCGATCACTGCCGTTTAAGCAACAACATCGGTCCTAGCCAGACAATGTTGTGCATTAGATGACGCTCACATGACAATTTACGAACACTTTGTTTATTTTAATAGGTTTAAAATGAAGGAGAGGTGAACAAATGCATACCGCAATTGATTGCGCATTTGCGGGTTGGTGCCGGATTGGCATTGAAGCACTGCGGGCTTTTGTGCGCTGAATCCATGGATGGCCGGGACAGGCCGGGCTACAGGCTGGCTTTTCGGAGAACAAGTTGAATCTGTAGTAAGAGCCTGCGTAACGATCTTTGCGATGGTGATTTTCCGGCCTACCCCCTCACAATCCATTTGAAAACGAAAGCGCACAATCACAGACGTGCGTCACATTTATCCATACATGCGTCATATTAATCCTAACATTGGCTGTCAAGCACAGGTAAGGGGCTTGACCACCGTCAATGTTGTCACTTGAACCTGACCTTGCGCGGAAGTCCCAGAAGACAATTACAAACACGGCGATCGAGTGCCGCACGATACAAACAGAGGACCCCGGCCGGGACGCCCACTGGTCTGTAAGCAGCGGCGAGTGTACTCACTGAGCAGCGGGGAACGAGCGGTATTGCCGCACCTGTTGGTGCTTCTCCCGGCTGCGAGGGATGTTTGGAAGTGGTCGATGGCTTAGCAGTCGCTAAGGTGATTTATGTACAATATTTATCCGCTTTGCTTCCATTCCTGGCTTAGTTGGGAGAGTGCCGACGCCGTTTTTGCGGACATAGCACTGCGCTTTCCGGACCAGGTGGCCACAAATCGTGTACTGAAGCTGCTTCAGTGCAACACGGCGGTCTGGAGACGATCTAAGGTCGCCCGAGGTCGGCGCAGGGCATGGTTGCGGCATTTTCATTGCCAATATTCATTGGCAGTGAGCAGCAAAACATTGGCATTTATCAGGGAAATGGTCCAACCCGTCCGGAAGGGCACCTGAGCTCTGTGAGCTGACCGGGCCTGGAGCCAATTCTCTTGCAGAGCATTCGGAATTAGTGCATCGCCGTCCGCAACTCATTTTACGGTGCCGTCTTGTATCGTTATTGCATGGTATAAACATAGCGCCTGAGGTTGTCATCGCTTCGCCCGCTCAGGACTTAGCATATGCTTGCCTACTCCCACCACTCGGCTAGGTGCAGCACGGGCAGCTGTTAGCAAGTCTCTCGAGCATTCGGACTTTCTGTGTGTATTCAGTGTCTACACTCGCCGCTCAACCTGCTGCTAGGTTACGGCACATATACAAAACACCAACATCATGCCTCAGCCCATACACATCCCATACCGCGTCGGCGCATACTCACCGCCGTATACTGTCTATCCCTGATTCAGCCGGGCTATGACCTATGGTTTTCAGCCATTTGCACCAGGTACTCCATTCGTACATCCAATAATGGTTGGTGGCGGAAGTTCCCGGCCATGCTGCGCATTCGGCAATAAACTCCTTCCTTTACCTGCACGGTTTTCAAATACACAACACGTGTAAATCCTTTCGCGTTTGGTTGTGAAGACATCGTTCCGAATGATTTCAACTGTACCACTGTGGGACTTCCCTTGGTCCATACGGCAAGCTGATTTCCCACGCCTCATGCAGGTGGTCTGCGTGGTGACTGGGAGGTGCGATGGCGCGTGCTTTCCGAAAGTCAAAACACGCAGGCTTTAGAACGGCAGTATCTAGGTGGACATGTAGGAACTCTTCGGTCGCACTAGGCCATTGAAGATGTCCTTTAAGTTGGCCGTAAATGTAGCGTCTGAAGCAGTTGTCGCACTTGACTTACATATTTAGACCCAGCTGTTTAGCGGACAGATGGCTTGAAGCAGAAGTGTCACACGTTACAATGATCGATGTTGTTCGACGCCCCTGGGTGGATGCCACTGTCAACGCCCAGGCTGTCTTGATGCGGATCATTGGTCGCCCACATTCTAGCGCTGCTTCGCAGCAAACGAGCCATGTGGCATCGCTTGGTGATGACTCTGGCACGACCTTGGATAACTGTGCAACCCGAACGGTGGCGGCTGTGCGGTCAGATATGTAAGTCACTGGGAGCTGCCCTCTCCAAATGAGTGACCCGGATGCAGCAGTCGGCCCCCGGCTGCAGCGGGCCAGACATTGACAGTGCCGTGGTCTGCCCTGTGGTCTGCCCTGCTCTGCCCTGCTTTGCCCTGCCCTGCCCTGATCTGATCTGACTGACCTGACTGACCTGTCCCAACACGGTAACGGTGGGGCCGCCGCCGCACGTACAGGGACAGGGACCGAGTCCGGGGGGGGGGGGGGAGGGGACCATCCTTGCACTGTTCTGGCCAACTCTCCGCTTCTCACCACCTCTCAACCATCACTCTCCGCTCGCGCTAGACGGATGCGGGCCATGTCAGTGCTGGAGCTGTGTACTGGGGCGCCATGTCATCGACAGTGAAACTGGTGACGCAGTCTGGGCGAAGCACTTCACTTCATGTCAGCGAAAATGAAGCTGGTGACGCATCCTGGACGAAGTATTTGATGTCATCTCATCGACAGTGAAACCTGTGACTCATTCCGGGGCAAGTTTTGACGTCATCTCATCGACAGTGAAACCTGTGACTCATCCTGGGCCAAGTTTTGACATCATCTCATCGACAGTGAAACCTGTGACTCATCCTGGGCCAAGTTTTGACGTCATGTCATCGACAGTGAAACTGGTGGCGCATCCTGGGCCAAGTATTTGGCGTCATGTCGTCGACAGTGAAACTGGTGGCGCATCGTGTGCCAAGTATGTGACGTCATGTCATGGACAGTGACATTCGTGACTCTGTGACACATCCTGGGCGAATTATTCGAAAGAGAGGTTGCTGCCTCACGATTCATATACCACCATTGGTCATGGGACACTTTTCAGCGTGGCAAGTGCCATGTGGCTTTTCTGGAACACGTTCGGTAACGAAGTGGTGTTGGGATCAAACTCATGGTGTCTTTTCATGAAATTTGAATATGTGATGGTATTGCATTGAGCTGTAGAGATTGCTGGAGTTTCTACGGGGAGTACAGAAATCCAGTATGAATACGGGAGAAAACAGTCATTTGCTTGTGGACCAAAGTACAGTCTCCGTGTGAACCCTAGGCTATCTTTAACACGGAGGCTTGAGTCAAAAGAGGCTTTTTTGGAGTCGGATGTAAGGATTGACTATAATCTTTGGAGAAAATCCTTAATTGCTGTCCGGTTTTGAGCTGATTTTTCAGTAATCGCGGTATTCTGTTGCCGTCGACATTACAAATCCAACATGGGGCCAACATTTTGAACACTTCCACAAACTGGCACGATGGACTTAGCTTTAACAGTGCCGACATCCCATCCACCTCATACCAGCGCTTTCCAGTTCATTACTGAGATTCGGGTTTGATGTTCGTTTGTAATTCTTGGCTGTTCCGCTACAAAAAATCCGACTTTCGGAGTTCCACCACAAAAATCCGACTTTCGGAGTTCCACCACAAAAATCCGACTTTAGGAGTTCCACCACAAGCATCCGGCTTTCAGATATTACGGAACAAGCGTGCTGTTCGAAATTCGAACAAAGTATGCATTGAACAAGGGAGAGATGCTGTCAATTCGAATTATGCGTACAGCTCGTCTACCATATATTTGGCCAGTTTGAACTGATGTAGTTGACTAGTCGACTGCACTTGGCAACTACCTCGACTGAGCTGAGCCGAGGTAGTTGCCATTACTGAGTGAGTGACCGCCACTGCCAGCAGTGACCGCATGGTTTGTGACGGTCTCCCGTCAGCACGTCACTGTGTCAACCGGCTCGTTCAGCCAGCGCCGCCCACGGCGAACCAGCACGTCCCCGGCGCTGCTGGCCGCGTCGACCGCCAGTGGTCGTGGAGCCCAGCCATTCCCCGCTGCCGGCCGCGACGGCCGTGCCGTCCTGATCGGAGGCGGGCGCGGCGTTGGGAGCGCGCGAGCGCGGTGCCCCGGAAATCAGTGGTGGATCCACCCTTGCTCCGCGCCATCACAGCACACTCGCCAGTACGGAAAGCCGGTCATCAACGCCACAGGTGGCGCTGGCCCATCACATCCAACAGTGGTAACCTGCGTATCAACGGTGCCACCATTGACCTAGCACTCATTCCCATATTCTCTCCATGTTAGTGGTCTGAACGCCCCCTCCCCCTAGATAGCTCTCCCTTGCAACGAACAAGGTGACCTGCCTGTGGTAAGTGCTGCAGCATATCTCCAGGGATGCATTAGGAATCGGCAGTGCAGTGGGACACATTGCAAATTGAGTTAGGGATAGGCATGTTGGGAAGAAATGAGAGTGCATTAGGAATGATGACATGCTGCACGACAATGACACTATGGGGAAGAACGCGCGAAGCACTCGAGGCGGAAAACGCTCGTGTGCTTTTTACTTCAGCAAAAGTGACCGTTTGGCGCCTCTGCCTCTGCAGCCCTACGGACCCGGTCGTGGCTTCCCTGGTGGCCAATGGGACCCCCAGCAGCAGCAGCAACAACCACAGCAGCACCACCACCAGCAACAACAGCAGCAACAGCAGCAGCAACAGCAACAGCAACAGCAACAGCAACAGCAACAGCAGCAGCAGCTGCAGCAGTCGGCACCTTCTGCCGGATATCCGGCAACCAGCCGACCAAAGCAGCCTCCGACACCAACCCGGCCGGCCTCAGCCAGCGGCTCGGTAAGGATCATTCAGCCACAGCTCCGGTCCTCTGTCCGCTGTCTCGTGAGCCAGGCCTCGTGCTGCGCAGACCGCTGTGCTGTATGCTGAAGTGTGCGGTGTGCGGAAGGCCGCGTGACGTACTGTGTCACACGCTGTGACGCCTGCTGTATCCTGTGCCGTCCGCCCACCGCGCTGGCACGCCCAGCACAGCAACACCAACACACGGAGAGCAGGGCAAACCAGATGGTGCACTGACTCAGCACGGTGAGCTGTTTGCGTGCAAGAACAGTGATATTTGATAATACGATCATACGGCGTGTGGCCTTGCGATCTCAGGAAGGGGGGGGGGGAAGCAGACGGAAAGAAGGAGGTAAGGTGAGGGGGAAGGGGGGACATTTGGAGGATTTATCTGTCCTGAAATGCTGAAATGTTTTCCATACCTGGGAAAAGCCCAGGCCTGCCCTCGTACATCCTGGACCTCTTGTCTTGTAAAAAAGTTCGGGTCCATGCTTCGTCGTTCTGCTTCTTCGGATCAGAACGGCCAAAAGTCTCGATTTCTTGGACCTGCGAGACCCTGTGATTGCCGCTCAGTCCCACTCTGATATTGGCTGGTGCGGGAAAAGCAGCGACAGCATTGCTCGCGATCGTTCCACATGCACCCTCATCACCACGCGAAATACGGGTTCAGGCCCAGCGGTCTGTTGCGTGCCCAGAATTCCTACCTTGTCAGTTTCGCGTTGGCGTCCTCGCAGCCGCGAACACCATATATTTCAGCGGTACCCTAGAAGGTGAAACAGTCACACCTTTGTCGACGCCGGGTGAGCATTAATTTGACCAATGTCCGTCCCAGGAGCTCACGGTCACTTCAAGCTCGGTTTTTTCCCCTGAGTGGGATGGGCTCGGTCGGGTTACGTGGCTTCAGATGAAGGGACGGCCGAACTCATGGCACGTTTAAATTTCGCCCGTTGACGTGGAATTTCACGATCGATTGGTGGGGCTGCGACAGTCGCTGCTTGGCGTGGACCCCGATCACAGGAACCATCGAATCAAAAGCACCGCACCGCAAAAGCATCGTAAGCGCGGGGCATGCCGAGCAAGGGACCTCGCTGGCCGCCGAGTGTGGCCCGGCCACCGTCTGGGCTGTGTGACCTACCACCGCCGCCGCCCGCCGCCCGCCGTCCGGCCGAGATCTGCGCGTGTCGCACGTCCACACAGGCGCGGCGTCTCCGGCGGTGCGACCCCGGGCCGGCCACCCCGCCGCATACGCACCGGCCTCGTCCGCCGGCGGCACGCCTCTATGCGGGCCGGGGCCGGCGGCGGTGCGTGCCGGCGTGCGGTGAGCTGAGCAGCCGTGAGTCACGCGCACGTGCGCCGGCCGCCGCCCCGCTGGCCCGCTGGCCCGCCACCCATTGACGGACGGCCGTGTCGGTCAGCTGACGCCGCAGACAGAGTGGCGGCGTGCTCACGTCGCGCGCCGGATCGAGTGGTCGTGGGGGGGGGGGGGGGGGGGCGCGGCTGGGCCGATTGACGGCGGCTGTTGCCACCGGAGCCGGCGCGCGGAAATCAATGCTGTCACCGACCCCGTCCGCCCGGTAATTGCCACTCGGCGGCGCGCAAGGTTAAGGCTGGCCGGCGTCTGTTGTGATCACGGCCGCAAATAGCGGTGGCCGCTATTTACGGAAGGGCGTCGCGGACGGCGGTTCAATGAGCAGCGTCGCGGCCAAGCCGACGGCGGTCGGCGGGCGGCGTGGCATCCAGCCGAGCCCCTGGCCGGGCCGCGGGGACGGGTCGGGCGCCGGCGGCGACGCTACGGCGGCGTCGCCCAGGCGCTGGGCCGCCTGAGCGGCGTCCGCGGCTCGGCGACAACAGCCGGTCGGCGGTCAAGGTCGCGCCTCCCGCCGCCCGCTGCATACAAAGGCGCTCGTTAGGCGGTGCCGGACGGACGCGAGACGAGGCGGCGTGACTTTTGAGGCGCCCCGCCGGCCGCTCTACTCACCAAGGGTGCTTCCGGCCCGGCGCGGGCGGGGGAGAGGCCAGTGCACGTGGTTCGGAGACTTGCTAGAGATAATTGGCCGCCGCTTGCGCTAGCGAGTGGGTAACGGTTTGGCACTGGGTGCTATGTGGCAGATATGCGTGATAAGTCGAGTTTTGCTCGTGACGGGGTCTGCAGCGGCCCGCCACCGCTCGGCGGGACCGGTGAGGGATGCTAAGTGACCTAGCCGAAGCAAAGGTACTCGGTCTCACCGATCGTCTGGGGTGTTAGCGAATGTCCTGACACGAGCACAGTGGTCAGCGATGAGTAGCTTTGTAGTGCGTTCAATGAGTACGTATCGTAGCATGTGGGTCTCGGACATATGGCTGTCGATTGGGCAATTGTGACGGATAAGGTGCGTACAAATGCCCTCACAGTTAAGCTTTCGCATTGAACTACTTACACATGTTGTTTTCCGTGGTGTGAAAAGATCGAGTGGCTAGAGAAATGTCGCGTTCGTTGTTTCCGAGTTTTTAATTGCCTCGCCCCATCATGCCCCAGATGAGCACGCGCGCGACTTGGCCCCAGTGTTTCCCCATTTGCGTCGCCCAACTGCCATGTAGTGCGACACCGGTAAGGTATTCTGGGCATATGGTGGTGATACGTGCTGGTATTATGACGCTACGGACGCAGACGCAGACGCAGGCGCCCGTGCAGTCCCATGTCCCTCTGCCGGAGCCGGGAACTGACAACGACTTCACTGGGAGACCGGGCCCTGGCATATTTAGGTGCAGCCATAGTATGTCCTGACATTTCACTGGTGTCTCTGAACATTTTCACTGTCCGGTACGAATGGGTTTTTAATTTGCTCGGCTGTGGTAGCGTATTTTGTAGACAACTGACCAGCCCATCGGGATTTAGACGCGTGAGCGTGCAGTTGATACTGGTTGGGTCCGCCAAAACGGACTTATGGTTGCTGGTTTCGGTATCCAGATTCTAAATCGGCTTAGAACTTGAAACGGCTCTTACGTGTCTGGCGTATGCAACGAGGACTGCCCAGCACCACCTGCCCCGCTACGCACTTTTCCAGCGATGGCACTCGCACACGTAAATGCTGTTGTAGATGAACAATACCTGTCTACAACATAGGGCTCAGGCGCGCTGGTCCCCCTTGCAAGCATGTCTCGCTGCATGCTGGAGACATCCGTCATTTCCAGTCGCCATTGAAATGAACGTAGGTCACGTTGTCTGCAGTCGGTGTTGTCACGTCCGTGCATAATCGATACTCCTTTTCGGTCGCCATGCAGCGCGAGCAGCTTGGGCGGCGCGGCTGGTGCAGTGCCGAGTATGCAAATGTTTGCCTTACGGCGCCCGCGAACGGGCGTCGGCCGCTGCGTCATCAGGCCAGCTGGCGCGTGTGCCGGCCGCGTGCCCTGCCTCGTTATGAGACGGTGCGTGCCATTGGCCGGCTGGAGTGGGCCGTGCCGGGCGCCGGCGCCGCCACCGCCGTGCGCCGGCCCCGGCCCCGGCACTGCCGCGGCGCCGCCGGCCGGGCCGGCCGCGCCGCGCGCCGCCAGCCGGCCCGGCCGGGCGGCGGTTGCCTCACCCGCCTTTGTTCCGTGACGTGACAGCTCTCTCCCTCTCTCTCCCTCTCTCCCCGACCGCTCTCTCCCCCGGCACTCTGTCGTCCGGCCGCCCGCGCTCTCCAGGCAGGCGGCTGCCGGCTGCCCGCCTGTGCCGTTCACTGGCGCCGCAGAGCGGCTGCCGCCGCCGCCGCCGCCGCCGCTGGCGCCGCCGTTGCTACTCCCGGTGCTACCTCGGTCGATGGCTTGTAAAATGCAGGGTTTTTCGTGTGTTGGCGTGGTATAAAGGATATTAAGATGCTCGTGGTGAATACCATGTTGCATTTGACCATTTTGTGGGCCGTGATTATCTAACGTATTTGCTGATGCGCTTTCATCAGAAATAATGAAAAATGATGTTCTGGAAGACCTGGTATTCAAGGGACGTCGCGGCTTCACGTCAAAATCGTTCTTTCATTAGTATCCTTGGATATGAACCCATGCAACTTCAAGATCTGTCTTGATTGATTTGGACTGAAATAAATTTGCTCTACTCGATACCACTCACGCGCTCTCAAAACGATCAGCTGGTCGAAGTGGCACGAGTGGTATTCGTTCTAGTGGATGTCATTCGCTAGTGGACTCTCATTTCGGGGCGGCAGTGAATTCAATAAAATAGCCTCGCCACTCTGTGGAAATTGGCTGTTTGCCGTCCTACGTCAGAAATTTTTTAGAATTTTGATGCATTTCATCCGTAAGTGCGTCGCCATAACTGAACGAATTTCGCGAGTGCATAACGAGAGTCAGACTCAATGTCTCGGCTCGTTTTTTCTTTCACGTTCTTTTTCTTAACATTCAGATTGATTCACAGCACTTTGTCGTTTCTAGCAGTCGAACAATGCGTATGCCTACCTTGGATTTTTTGGTTGGGATGAAGGAATGGCCTAACCAGTTTTGAATTTACTGCTTTTCGCGCCGTCTGTGGCTTTGTGGTCTATAAGGGCGAAATTTCCCCGCTCCAGACTGCAATTACGCGTCGAAGGGAGCCGAGTAGATGCCGCTCCTAGCACGCGAGTTTCGACCTTCGTGCGTTTATCAGCCATCTACGTCATTACGGTCCCAGTCGATGGCGGGCGCCGGTTTGTGTAGCGCTGCCGGGCCTTCCTTGGCACAGGCGATTCTGAGCCTTAGTGCAGCCGGCTGAACTGTTCGCCATGCACGGCTGCGTACGTGAAACTCCGGTAATTTAGAGGAGCACCCCACGTGACAGGATGCGCGGGGGAAATGCCGCGCCGGGGTCCAGTGGGAATGGAGCCCGGGGGAAGGAGCACGAGACGGCGAGCGGCGGTCGACGTCCCCCATTGGAACAGGTCTGGAGGCGCTCCAACTCCGACTGGAAGTAAGGCGTCGGGTGGGGCGCTTATGCTTTCCATTTTTAAGGAGAGGTCTGCGGCGCCGTAAATTAATCAGCGGACGACATCGGC